GTACTTTTGTGGTGTGAGTTACTTATATCCACATAAGTAGTATATGATGATGGTCAAGGATTGAATATATTTCAATAGAAGATCGATAAGGAAAGAACCGGAATGGAATGTGATTGGTATGAAAATACGTGAGCAATGAATTCAGAGAATATGGATTGATATTTGAAAAAGAAACAGACAATATTGAGACAGTTGAATGATCGTTTGCAAATTAACTATTTACTGTAACATTGTCAAACTTTAGTGAGATATTCTGTAATTTGTGCCTAATTATTTTCGATTGGCCCTACTCGTCTTCTTGTTCACTACACTTTTATTTGAGTTTCTATTTATAATTCTTCAGAAAGTTATTCAGTGTATCAATATCATTTGAATAGATGAACCAAGGATTTACAAAGTAGATTTATTTGAAGCTGTTATGTTCTCTGACCTCATTTTTTCTCATAGTTGTTCTGGACGAAATTAATCATTCCTAATTCAAATGAAAATCTTTATAAATTTTATATAATTTTCTATATTAAGTTGACTCGCATTAGTTATTGAGAAGTAGTATCCTATCAGAGTAAATGTTTGCAAATCGGACAACTTATTTTATCAATATTCACTTAATGATTTAATTTAGCTAAAGACCTTATAAGTAGTTAAGAAGATTAAATGGTATGAAAGATCTAATCACTTGATATTCAATTCCTCTTTTAAATAAGTAAGTAGTATTTATCTTTAATGTAAGGAAAAAAAAAGCGGTAATTCTATGATGTAACATTTTCTTAAGTTTATCAATGTAAATTTATTTAGTTAGTTATTTCTTTCTTGCTGATTGGGTATTCTTGTTAACTGGGACTCCACTCAGTGGAAAATTGAATAACATGATTGAAAAACATTTACTCATATGACTTTCATTTGGTTGGTTTGTGCATTCTCATTTATTCAATAATAAATTTTAGTAATGTCCATTGAATTTATTTTAAAATTCTTGTTTTTTTTTAGTATTTCATTGTTACTATATTACTGTGTAACTGTTTTGTTTCTATACCTATTTCATATGTCAATAGCATGTTAACATACATTATTAGCTTAATTTGTAATCATTCATGTATGAATATATACCTATATCATAATGTAAAAAATGTACTTACGTCAATATGCAGTAAAGTATCATCGACCCATAAAAGAGTTATACTAAACTACCCATGAAAGTATTAGATATTTAGTAGATATGATGAAAACATGTTTCCATTTATTCCCCTTCTAACAATTTTTGAATCTTTTCAGTAAAATGTTCAGTATATCATATTATTTTCTGTTCAAACATCCTTTAGTCAATCCATGTTACTGTGTTTAGATGTCGCTGAAAAAAAGACTGTCATTTCACGGACTTAATTTGATTTTTGGTTGTAATTTAATATGATGACATTACAAAACAGATATAGACAAGTTATCATTATTGAAAGGCTAGTATTTGAACGAAGGATATTCTTCTCGATAAATTCTCTTCAGGTTCTACATTTATATATTCAAATTAATAATCCGTATAAATGGTCAGGTTAAAGGCAAAGTACATCGTTTAAAGCACGTAGATTTATGATTGTCAAACCAAATAGAATAAAATTGTTAATGTTGATATGACTCAAATAGAATGTTAACTTGAATCTGTATATATGTTAAGTGGAGATCTGTGATCAGAATAAATATGGGTCAGATAGGGTGAGAGAGATATGATGGTCGATCAAGTAGAAGATTAAATTGTGTGGAAAATTCGTAAGACGTAATACGAAGATTACGCAGATCAATCCAAAAATTGTTTAACGCCAGTGAACTACGTTTAGTGTTTTCTACGCGCCCAATGGTGACACAGAGGCTTAAAGATGAATTACCTAGAATGGCCACCTCATTTTGTATTTATCAGTTCGACTGCTCCTGTGGAACAAGTTATATTGGGCGAAGTTCTAGGAATTCACATTTTCGTGCTCGTGAACACCTCCAAGCGTGGCTAAGCAAAGGTTTGGTGAAGAAATCGGTCATAGTGCCAGTGTAAAACAATCATTTTTATTTATTTACAGGGTCAGTAATTTTTTGCCGAAGCTTGTCAGGAGGCAGTAGCCATCAGGATGAAGAAACCGGAGCTATGCATACAGAAAAAATATCTCCAAGCCCTACTCCTCCCTTGGCCAACCACAAGGCCAATTAATCACTAGTAATCTTAGCTATTGGATGACCAAATTTGACTATGTACTTACGAACTTTCGTAGTCAAATGTAATTGTCTGTTACCTTTATTCAAAATCTTCGCATTTATTATTATTATTACTATTATTATTCATATTGGTTAAACATCATTATTAATCCCCCCTAAACATGATTCATTCACTTCGCATTGACCCCTCCTTATAACGTCTTACTAATTTTTCACACAATTTAATCTTCTACTTGATCGACCATCATATCTCTCTCACCCTATCTGACCCATATTTATTCTGATCACAGATCTCCACTTAACATATATACAGATTCAAGTTAACATTCTATTTGAGGGTTGACATTAGAATCACGGCTCGTATTATCCCCTACCACCCTTGTTTTCGAAAATGAAGGATGTGAAAAAAATTTTTGATTAAGGGGGAGAAAAAAAATTTATTAAAAAAAAATCGACGTGATCCTAATGTTATTCCTATTTGAGTCATATCAACATAAACAATTTTATTCTATTTGGTTTGACAATCATAAATCTACGTGCTTTAAACGATGTACTTTGCCTTTAACCTGACCATTTATACGGATTATTAATTTGAATATATAAATGTAGAACCTGAAGAGAATTTATCGAGAAGAATATCCTTCGTTCAAATATTAGTCTTTCAATATGATGGGGATCTCTAAACGATTATCATTATTAAATTCAACTTAGTATTGTTTGTTTGAATCCAGCTGACGAGTCCCAAATAGGACGAAACGCGCGTCCTGGATTCCACTGCTAGCCACCATCCATCTCTGCTAACCATGATTATCATTATTGTTCAAAAAAATCTAGATATTTTATTAATGCAATATATTTTGAGTGGTAACTCTAAATAATGTGGAGAAGTTCTATCAGTAAATACTATCAATAAATAGGTCAATATAAGATTTAAATAACGTGTACATGACTTGAATTTAGTACATTTATCAGTAATAGCTCAATTTACAGATGATCAGTAAAATTTAAGATGCATATTTTGATTTGTTTAACAGATACTAGTTATAAATTGCAAATTGAATATCAAATATTTGTATTTGTTCAAAGTTAATGACAATTTTTCATGAATAATTTTATCTAATCTTGTTAAAAGTTGTTTTGTGATGAGGGCTGTTTATATCCACATAAGTAGTATATGGTGATGAGCAGACATAGAGAGTATTTCAGTAGAAGATCGATAAAGAAAGAACGGGAAGGAAGTGCAATTGGTATGAAAATGCATGGACAATAATAATCGGAGACGATGAACTGATATTTACAGAAGGGATGGTCAAGATTGAGTCAATTGATTGATAATTGGCAAATTAACTATTCACTGTATGTTTATCAGATTTTAGTGAGATATTCTGTAATTTCGTGTCTAATACATTCGATTGTCCCCACCCGTCTTCTTATTCACTATAGGTCTAGTCAAATTTGTTCTTATACAAGTATAATAAGTTTCAAATCTATTTTATAAAGCTCAAGTAGAAATTAACATAAAATTAGTTAATTTATTTCAGACAAGATGGTCTGCAACCTAACACCTATGATAAAGTTACATTATCAAACAGTCAATTTTCTGTCAAACTATTTCATTATTTAATTTAATAAGAAGTGCGTAAAGAATGTGACGGTGGAGAGAGATTTCTCTCTCTAGTGGATAATTTTAATAGAGTTTTATTATCTGAGCTGGATGTTTTGATCGTAGAGTTTCGTACTAATGATGTCGTTTAGAGTAACAATGAGAGCTCCACGACCAAACCATCCAGCTTAGTGAACAAAACTCGATCAAAGAGTGTGATGCTCAAATGTTTAAAATTATATATAATTAGGTTTGTAATTAATATTCTGAAAACATTGAATAATCTAAACAATAGTTTGTTTGTAATTTATATTTATCAATGAAATCTTACAATGAAGTAATACATCTTACTATTTTAAAAGTGACAAATTTTATAATCATATTAACCATTTAATCAGTTTTAAATGAAAACAAGAACGTTTTAAAGATTTACTGAGTGTTTAAAACTAAACGGGAAAATTATTTACTCTGATTCATTTGGTTATATGCTCACCGTATCAAAAATAAGCGATCCTAATCACTCATTTGTAGTCTACAAATATAAAAATACGAACATTTAAATACCTTTCATCTGTACTTTTTTTATATGGAATTACTAAGTAATCTAATTTTTTAATCATTGAAGAAAGATTGTATAAATTACCTAAACGTATGTTTATTAAATCCTTATTATTACTGATCTGCTAAAATGTGAGATATGGAAAAAGTTATCGATGTTTTCCTCATGAATATTTTGATTCGATAAGAGCTGTTTAAAAAGTTAACTTCTGACTGTTAAATTGTTCAAATTTCTGTTAATACAAGTGGTTACTTCAGAATTTGATTAAAAGTTTTCCAAGGAAAAGTAGGTAAGTAGTAAAATAATCATGATTACCATAGTGACTATTTAATAACTAAATAATAATAATAATCAGTTCTATGTAACCTTAACTTCTCTGATAAATACTTATCTGTAGTCAGTACATCTACTACTCTTTACAAAATCTATCAGATTATATCGACTTCAAAAGAGTTTAAAAACTCCGAACAGTATTTAATTCCATTCCATTGACTCACAATGTACATAGATATATATTCAGAAAAAGAAATAAACATAAGCCTTCCTAACTCATTAAATAACTTTCTAAAACTATACATCATTTATCTACTTATAACTGATTTAAGTAATCAATAATCATATATCCCTCTTAAATAAATCACTTACTTTAAAAATAAATTTAAACAAATTTTTTAATCAAAATGTATTCCTCAAATTATTGTTTATTTAACATAAATTAAATGCCATTTAAATGATGTTTAGTTCAAAGTTCATTTACTTAAATAATAATGAATAGATTTTCTGATTAAAAAAAAACTATTTGTGAATGTGAACAATTTCCTTTTAATTCGATTAATTTTATGACAAATTAATTTGATTGGTTAATTTTTCTTATAACTGAAATTATATCAGATAAAGAATAAGCTAATGAGTAAAGTGGGCGATATAGAAAGTTTATGAATGGTCAAATAAATTTATGGAAGCAGTGAATGAAATATCTTCTCTATAATGCAATAAAATATATTTCACAAAATCTCTATACTTTTATCTTAGTTATCACATTGTTAACAGGGTACCTACGCATTTTATACCATTTGTGTATAAATTATCCTATACTTTGATTGAATTTCATTACTATCTTCAAAGTTGTTATAAAAGACTTCTTTAAAACTTAACTATTTTGTATATAATCTCTAATTGACAATAGACTTTCTTCACATCAGTATCTGACAAACTTTACTTTTGTATAACTTAAAACCTAAGCTTAAATGAATCCAGATGTTTGATTTTTTCTTTTCGATGTCACAAAAACTTTCAGTAGACTAGATTATACAATTGAATTGAAAATCTATACTGTCAGTTTAAGTAATCGACTTTGTTTCATCACTTATTTATCTTGTCTTTACCGCTGAGTAACTAACTGATGAAAATACTTTTTTCACAAATAACTAATATAGCTACCTATCGTTTGTTTGTTTGCTTCTTGTTTAATACAGTAAATGATACTGATATTATTAAAATCATAATATTGTTTTTAAAGAAACATGTGTTACATTTTTTATTTCTTCTAAACGTTAAGTAACAAATATACGTTTTTCTCTCTATCCCCAATCATTTCAAACCTCTAGCAGAAAACCATACAACCGCCATCAAAACCGCCTAAGAATGATGTTGTTATTTCAGGTTACTTCATTGCATGCTCTAAAATATTATGGAGTTTAAAACAACAATAACTATCTAATAAGATAAAATGCAAAAACGCAATTTAGGAATTAGACTATAGTGAATTTCTCGATTACTTTGGTTATATCTGCACTTATGACACTTTATGTATATATATATATATATATATATATATATATATCCATTTTTGAAATTGCAAATGAAAACGATATTAAAATATATTTGAAAAAGTAGTAGGTATGCGTCTACATTAAAATAAATGTCAAAATAATATTCAATGATTGCTATTTATGTAAGGTAATGCATTAAAGTGAGACCAATCAGTTATAATCGCTTAATCGGTCTTTAGGATCTGTTTGTCGTGTCAATTACCAGTATATCATTGACAAAGTTCTCTTTACTAAAAATCAGATATCATGATTCTTAAAGCTATACCATAACCGGCTTCAATAATTAATTTGTTACTTTATTTATACAACGCTTTACTGAAAAGTTCATTTATATGATATCTTACTGGGTTTATTGCATAATATTAGTTTATATATATGTGGGAAACATGATTAATTCTCAAATCGTAGATACATAGTGTTATATCCCATGGAGATTTAGAAATGATAACTTTGAGAACTATTTATGGACCAATATGATATATATATTTCCTATTGTATAATTTTCAAGTAACTAAACTATTCATATTCGTGTCCCTCTTATTATAAGCTTTATTTCAATCTATAGACTATTAATATACGATTGACTATTCTTTAGTCATTAATTACTGTTCCCCCTATTCACAGCCACATTTGGCTAAATCTTGTACAAATGTTACTTTCTATTTTATGATACGATGTGGTCAGTTTGTTTGGCATATGAACCCAATATGTTTCAGAATAATGATTCATATTACAGGGGCTGTTATTGGTGTTCTGAAATTAACTGTCTGGGTAAGGCAGAAAACAGGACTGATAAGTACTCAAGACTGCTCATACGGCTTTTGGTGTATCATTAATCCGATCGATAAAATCACCGCTCACCAATTAGTGGTCTCACAACGTCATATATTAAACAAGGCACTCAAACAATCGATATAACACATAGCATTAATCTCAACAGCTAAGCATCTACCCTTAAAAAGCAGCGCTTTTTTTAATTTAGTAAACATGGAAATGAAGTTCTCTTAATTATCATATTTTGGCAGTTTAAGAAAAAAATATTTATACAATAATATGAAGAAAGAAACCATTAAGATGAAATTAATTCAAAAACATTTCCGAGTGTCTTCCAAGTGTTTCGACCCATGAATATATATATCGAATGAAACGTCTATTAAAAGTAGTCCTTAATATACTTTTTTATTTTGATAACTTTACGGTTACAAATTAAATGAAAAGAATATGAATTATAATAATCGGAAAGGGGTTTTGTGGAGGTTTTAGCAATTTTATATAGTTGAAACGAAACGGCCGTCCAATGCTTCCAGGTTTTCCATGGTGATCTAGCTTCAACTGACTCATGATCTCAGCTGTATAAAATTATAATAATGTTATATAGATTAGAAAATTAAAAACAACACTGACATTAAAAGTAATTGTAGAGAGATTTATTAATTATGAATTAATTAACAGAAAGTCTACATGTATCCTTTCCAAGACCAGAGAATAAATATAAATTTTTTATTTATTCTTTGAAGAAGTGGCTTACACTGAGTCACGAAACGTCACAAAATCTAATTTTTCTACTCATTGGGATATTATAAATATATTATTTATTTAAAACAATCTACCCAATGCTCAATTTATTCAAAATTAACTAGTAATAATAGTTATATATATATATAGAATGGAAGGATTTGAAAATAGAACTAATGAATAGTTAATGATATAAGACAATATAATAAACCATAAAAGAAAGACCAACTGAATGTTAATTTTATTCAATAAATAAAACATAAATATATAAATAATACCTAGAACATAATTAAATTGAAAATTCATAATTTTGAATAATTAAGATGAATTTAAACTTTTTGATCTTAAATGATACAGTCGAAATGAAATGGTATTTAAATTCACTTAGTATTACTTGTTTGAATATTCCCATCGATGGGAATATTCAAACAAGTAATACTAATTAAGTTTAAACTTCACCCCGTTGCACAAACAAGTGGCTATCAGGACTCAGTGGCCGAGTGGATAACGCGATGGTGTTTGAAGCAAAAGGTACTGGGTTCGAATATCAGAGTGAACAGCAACTCTGAGATGCAGGTACATCCAGCTGAAGAGTCCCAAATAGGACGAAACGCGCGTCCTGGATTCCACTGCTAGCCACTATCCATCTTCGCTTGAAGTGGTATTTAGTTTATTAATGGGCATAATTTTTAAAATAATAAACTAAAATCTAAAATTTATTAAGTTAAATTTAATTATACTCATAAAAGAATAAAGATTCTTTAGCTTTCAACTATATGTTTCTACTTTGTTTTATGTTATATTCCGATGAGAATATTGAATGATAACTGTTTGGTTCCATTTATGGACTAATAATATACATATATTTTTATTATATAATTGTTATGTAACTAAACGATAAATATTCATGTCCCTCTTATCATAAGCTTTATTTTGACTCATAGACTATTATTATACGATTTACCGTTCTTCAGTTATGCCAAGTCTATTAAGTAGCCTCCCACATTCACAGCCACATTTGGCTAAATCTTGTGCAAATGTTGTTTTCCTATTTTGTGCTGTGATGTTGTCTGTTTGGTCTGTATATGAATCCAGTATGTTTGAAATACATAATTCATATCACGGAGGCTGGGATTGGTGTTCTGGACTCAACAGGCAGGACTAGGCAGGACGCAAGGACCGACAAGGACACTAGACTGCTCGTATGGGCATACGCGTCATTAGTCCGGTCGAGAAATCACTGTTCTCTAATTGGCAGTATCATTATGTCATACATTACTAGGACACAAGGCCACAAGATATAACATTCTAAAAAGTGGTAATAGCAAATAGTAATTGTAACTAAATTCAAATAGACATTGAAGCATATACACTGTATGATTTAACAACTAAATGAAATCTTGAAATAATATTCATGCTATATATCGTAAACTTAAATGATTTATCTTCATTTATGGATGATATTTCATCTCATATAATCATTATCAGATGGCTACTGTACTATTCTTACCTTTATTTTATCAACTAATTAATATCAGTCTCCTCATAAATAAGGGTTTACAATGTATACTCTTTATTATTTCGTGTTACCTAACACAAAATGTTGACGTTATCAGACAACGAGCTGTGAGAAATCCCACTTTAGCTCCATTTGAATCTGAGTAATATTTTTGTAATCATAATGATAAGAATATTGCCCATTTATCGCAAAACTCAGACAATAGTCCTCTTTTCACTGGTAAATTTCATTTCAGTTTCAATGAATTTTATCATCATAAAGTGTATATAAACTGAATAAACCTGCTTTATCTTAATTTAAACTACATTTTTACTGTTTCAGTAAAGTTGGATTGTGGCTGACAGTAGTATTCAGAAGGTGAATTCCGTCCCATTTTGGACTTATCAGCTGAATGCACCTGTACTTTAATATTGTTCCTCACACTAGAACTCAAACTCAAAACCTTTACCTCGAAACTCCAATGAAATAACCATTTGGATTGGCACTATTACAAACATTTTCAAGCAAGTCAATTATACTCTATTAGAAACGGTTTTCATCATATAGCCATTTCTGTCTAAAACACCCTTTCACACAATTCCGCTCAGTTGTCTCTCTTAATTATATGAACTCTCCAAATTTTATTCCACTATTACGTAACCTCCCTTAATTGTTTTTAGTTACCTCTAAAATTATCACACATTTGATCTCATCTGTCTGTGAACTCCACTCAACTATTACGCCACGCACCCTTTATGCTTTTTTCATTCTAATAACCTCTGACCGTTCCTTATATATATATATATATATATATATATATATATATATATATATATATATATATATATATATATATATATATATATATATATATATATGATCTTTTGTTATTCCAATCCTTTATATTCAATTATGTCCATTGTTCCATACTATTTATTACC